CAGGAAGAAAAAGGATGCAGTTCCTGCTAATGGACACTTGAGATGAAAATGGGAACGCATCTCTCGATGCCATAGCAACGTGGCAGGGACCAGTCGGTGTTCCTTGCCAGGCTGCTTCCATTGCCAGCCCTCAATCTCATCCCTTGAAACCCCCCTGGAGTCTACAGCAGCCTTTTCCGCCAGCTGTGGCATCCAGGTGTCTTGGATTCCAACGCCCATCATGCCCACCAGCCCCCCAGTCTGTAGAGGCAGATCACCTGCCCATCGCTCCATTTTCTGGACTGTTTTGACCCCCATCAAGAAAGTGGATCCCTTAAATTACGGTTCGTGCGGCTAACTGGAGAAAAGAGACAAGCAGAGTTTGTACCCCCAAATGAACAGGAATAAGAGACAGACCACATGTGCTGATAGAATGGCTTATTTATTCATTTGTTTAAAACATTTGTAGAGCCACCCATCTTAAACCAAACTCTGGGCAGCTTACAGTTGAGAATAAAACAACATATATATAATAAAAGTCAAAAACAACACCATCAGTAACCCCCATAACAGGAACAATTTGATATATTGCTTGATTATGTATCACCAGGTTGGTGGTGACTATTAGCAACCATGTAGATAGTCCTTCTCAAGGATTTTTATATACATATTACACACAAAACATTTTGTATCATATATTTTACAATAACTTTCAATATATTCAATATGTTTATTAATATATTATGTTAATATATCCTAGTTATGATGCACTATTATTAATAATAATCCATTAATACTTATTACTTATTGCGATCCCATTCATCTGAGGCCTCTGAAAACTTGCTTCTTTCACCCAAAGATATATTTTCCTCACACTTAAGTACATTACTCCTTAGCCACCTATTTCGGCTGGCAGATGAGACCTGGAGAAGTCATTCCATTTATCCCAGCATGGCCTAAATCAGTGTTGTCCAAACTTGGCCAGTTTAAGATGAGTGGACTTCAACTCCCAGAATTCCCCCCCGCCAACCCGCGGGGCTGGGGGGATTGCGGGGTTGAAGTATCACCCACTAAAAAATGCAAATATATCAAAAATCGATTTTTG